GTTTTGAAAGTTAGCTTTAACTTGCTTGATATTTAAAGTCCTGAAAGAAGTATCCCAAAACATAGACAATGATTTTGTTAAACATGTTGATATATTGTTTTGTAGAATTAAACTTATGATATTGAAAAAATAAATAAATTACTGGTTATGGAAAGAACAGACAAAACTAGACCACTGATCAGATTTGTAATGATCAGAAGAGTCACAAACTGGTAGTTTGTTTAATAGAACACATAGGCATAACAGAATATACTGCAAAAAATAATAATAATAAAATAAAGCCAAAACTAACAAAACCAGAGCTCATTTCAAACACTGACCACAAAATGTTTACCAAGTATATGTCATCCTACATCAAATCCCATCACTCTGTGACATTAACACATTATCATAGTCAGCCACCTTTACCCAGTAGGCGATGGAGAATGCCTTCAAGGGCAAGACATTTTGAGTATTTCAGACAATCACTCACATTATCCTGCTCTTGCTTTCACCCCGTCATGAGATACAAAATAAGAAACTCTAATAGAAGTGTATAAAAATTATTTCAATTGGTTTTAGAGGGGTCATGAAAAAAAAAAAAAAAAACAGAAAATCAGATGGTTGTACTAGTCCCCCATTATGACAATTTAATCTCTTCCTCACTCTACTTCCCAAATTATCCTCAAATTTTCTCATGAGCTTTGGGCAAGAATAATAGGATAATTTAATAAAGAAGAATGAGGAAGTAAGACTTTCACAATGATTTGCACATCTCTAAGGTCAGAGGGAGGAACCAAGACAGATGAAAGAAAAATCTAGATCTCTTCATCTTCTCTTCCTCTTGGTGACAAGCAGCTAGCTAGGCCCTGGCATGGGAATTCCTCCTCATGCTTTTCAACAGAATCTTGGACTTTATCCAAAGGGCTACAACTGTGTATGTCTCCAGATTGCAGTAATCCACAGAATCTTGAACCAATCTTTCCTGCAAAACTTAGGATAAAATGTTTTAGCAGTACCCATATTGCTTGCAAACAAGGAATAGTGGATGAGATCTACAGCATTTCCACCCTCTTCCTTCTCAAAAGCCCTCCCCTTATTTAGCCACTTTCCCCTCCCCCAGGCTCAGGCATGGTCGTGATCAGCCTGTATCATTTCGTTCCCTCACTACCAACTACTTCCACAATGGCTACCGACCCACTTGTGGCCTATGAGAGCCTGGAGGAAGTCTGCTGGGAGAAAGAATCAGGTAGCGGGAGAAACACATTCTCCTCATTGTCCTGCTTGGTGTCCAGGAATGCAGATGGAGAGATGGCAAGAACCTGGGTCCTTGCTGGCACTTCGAGCTGCTGAGTCAACCAACTCTGAGCCTATTCACCCTTAAAACTTATGCTTAAAACCTGGATTTCAGTAACTTGAAGCCAAAACATTCAGGTAAAATAGTGTGGCAGACACGTCTTCTTTAATGCTTGCACTCTGGAATCTGAGAGAAAAGCCCCCTACATATTCCCCATCATGATTACCAAAGTTCTGATGTTGCCAAACACAACTCTAGCAAGCACTGAACTTTAGATGAACGTTTTTAATAACTATGAGCAGCACACTGTAACAATATCTCTTCTATAATAAAATTTTCTGACTGCTCTACTCCCTCAAACTATTCTAAAGTTCTGTTTGTTGTTTAGTTCTTTTATTTTCGTAAATGGCAAGCTCGTTATTGCATTTTTCTTGCATGTCTACATAGACGTTAGTCTTAGCATTCAAATTATTTTAATAAGACTGATAAGATCCTTGCTCTTTGAAGTATACACTCTACTTAAGAAGACAGATAACCAGAGAGTAAGTGTGTACGCCAGTAATTTCAGGTCATGACATATACTTACAAGAAATTGAAGCCAAAGAATGTGACAAAGTAATTGCAGCAGAAGTGGGATGGGAAGGGACAATAGGTCAAGGGTCAGAAAACATCACTGAGATAACATTTGAACTGAGTCACAGATGACAGGAAAATACCAGCTACAAGGAGGAGCAAGAACATTCCAGAAGGAAACAGAACACTGCAAAAGCTCTGAGACAGGAGCCAACTTGACAGGACTAACACTGTTACTGTTACTTCCTTCTTCTAACAAGGATGCTCGTTAACTCCTTTTCTAAACACTGAACTGTTGAACCCACACTTCTCCACACTTGCGCAGTTTTTGAATGATACCACACTATTAGAACGTCCTGAAGCCTTCCTCATGTTCTTCTATGACAAAGGAAGTTAAGAAAGAGAAGTTTAGAAGTTTAGGAATATGAAATATTCCTAAACTTCCATACACAGTTTTCAAAATCCTTACAACACAAAAAGGGGCCCAGTTTACTTCTCATGTAACCAACTAGATCAGCAGAGACACATAACTAAAATACTAAGTCTTTCTGGACTATATCAAAAGCAGTTTTCAAAAACTCTGCTTAGAGAAAAGCAGCCTAACTTTTCCCAGGAAGAGGTGCTCGATGTGGGGGTCCAGGCTGACGTGCTCCAAACAGGCTCATACAAAGGGCGCCGCCGTGCCGGTGGTGTGGCGCAGCGGCAGGGTGCTCGCCTCGCGAGGAGAAGTCCCTGGGCCTGATCTACAGCACTGCAGGCACACAACAGGAACAACTTGGGTTACTCCACTGCTTAGGCTCCTCAGAGGTCTTTCAGATCCTGCCACTACTGCAGTCAAGTTCTGTTATGGTGAATTCACATTGACTGCCTTCCCCTTAGCATGCTCTTCATTTCATTCATAGGGAACAGAAAGGGGGGTTCTATTATACTATGCAAAACAGTACCTCAAAAAAATTAACAATTTGACCAAAAATATGCAATAGCAAGGTGTGTTTGGGGGTGTCCCCTCTTGATTTGGCTCACTACACTGGGCAATTCAAAGCTATCATTTCTTCCCATTTTTCTCCTGTGACGAGTAAGAGAATCAGGTAAAAACTTGACAGACAAAACTGAAAGAAACTCAAGGTTGAAGAAAACAGACCAATTTTAAGCTAATTAGCTGTTAGAAGCAACACACACACACACACACACACACACCCCACTGGTCTTTTTAATTCATACAGAAACAGTCACCAGGATGTACAGTTAAAATCATATTAAAGTGAAAATGAAATTATTGTGTCCTTAGTCAAAATCCTGCTGTACAAAAAAATTCCATCATCTCTACTTCATGAGACCAAAACCATAGAGTCATGAAACATTACTCCATTAACAAACAGCTTTACGCTACGGGCAGATGTGAGGAATTGTAGGCTAAAGCAACAGAAATTCTGTTTTGTAGACCTAGTCAAATGACTAGATTCAAATTTATTCCACTTTCTGATGGGCCATATCTAGACTGAGCTGAGTTTGCCATATAAAGAAAGGAACAGCAAATGGGAATGAGTGCTGGTGAACAAACAGCCGAAGGGGCCGCGGTCCTTGTGTGTGTGCACAGCCTCGCGGCGGAACAGGCACGGCAGCTCGCCCGGACCGGCCCCGCCTTGAGCTTGCCGTTCGCCCAGCTCTTGGCGTCCAGGTCTCCCTGCCTCTCCACCAACGTCCTTGGTCTCCATCACAGGACACACACATCTAGGCTGCTCTCACATTCAGGTTGCAGAGGCTTGCTAACTGCTGCAGCCCAGGGCTCTAGACCTGCTTCCCTCCAAGTACACTGACATCCACTGCCCCCCTTGCCCACCCACATTTCACATCTGATCTTGCACAACAGCCCTTTCTAGAGACTCCTGCCCTTCCCAGTGCTCTTCCTTGTCAGAATCTACCAGCGTGTAGCTGCAGGACCTTCTATCACTGAGGCTCTTCCTAATCAAGAACCTATGGAAGTTCTGTTGGTTTCCAAGATCAGAATGCCTGATGTTAAGATTAATAGAATGTAAGCTCCCTGGGGGCAGGGACCTTTTCTGGCTGGGGCTTGTTCATGGCTGGATCTCATGATGAATGAAGAAATACTGTACTTCCTAAATTTTGTTCAGTGTGAAATAAACTTCACTT